CCGGCGCAGTCTCCAGAGACTGCAGAAGGGGCTGCGGCGCGCGTTGTGGCCGCTGGGGGCCCGGCTCTCTCCGCAGTGGCCGGCGTAGTCCCCAGAGACTGCAGAAGGGGTTGCGGCGCGCGTTGTCGCCGCTGGGGGCCCCTGCGAATCGCATTGTAAGTGCTGCGGGGAGGATGTTTGAGAAGCCTGTCTCTGCGCTCCTGCCATTGTGTTTTGCAAAGCAATGGCTCTCACTGTATGCTAAGCGCATTGTAAATGCTGCAGCGAGGGCGTTTGTGAAGCGCGTCTCTGCGCTACTGCCATTGTGATTTACATGGCCAGTGTTGTCACTGCGTTCTCATGATTGCGGCCTCGTCTCTGTGCGCCACTCCCATTGTGATTTCCACAGCCATTGTGTACCTGACATGTTTTGATGACATGTTCTAAAGCACTGACTTGACCCGCCGCTGTGTCGGTTGCATTCGCAGCCGATTGCATTCGCAGCTGTTTCGGATTGTCGCGGAGACCCAGGCTACAAGGTCTGGGCCTTTTTGGTTGATGATGATGGTGGAGATTCATTTTTGGGCTGAACTTCTAGCTGGTTTTGGTTTGTAGAGTGAGATTATCAAAAGCTGCCTGCTGAGGTTCGTCTGCTGACAAGTCACCATGCCACGGCCTCAACATTTTTGCACGATTTTGAAGATCAGTGGACGTGACGAACTTTGATGTTGAACTTCCGAGTCTATACATCTATAGGGATAACGTCTAGAACAGATGTGCTTTGGTCACAAAGAAGAATGTTGTTGTTTAGGTCTGTCTGCTGACGAGTGCTGACAAGTCACTGCGGCATGTTTTGATATTTACTTTACGTGACTCAAGTGGCAATGACTAACTCAAGATAGCAAGACTGCTTGTGTTTTGGAGACGACCAGACTCACTCAAAGTGCAGTGCCAGAGCGAGAGTGCCCGTCAGACTGTGTGACTGTAGACGGCTTACAGCGAAGCAACGGCCCGTCCCACGCATCACCCATGGAAGCATCGACCGCATGTCTTCTGGGCATTGCGTACTTGGGAGAAGAACCTAAATTCCTTTCTAAGACCTCGCATTTTTGCTGCAGTTCAAGAACTGTGAGCTGGCACGCCGGCGAGTCGACGTGACGAGCTGGACAGACTGTGGCGATACACTGCTGCGAAAAGAGTCGAAAACAACGCTGCCTTGCGTTGCATAACGACTGACGGAGTTCGTTTCTCAAAAGAATTGGCACTGACCAAGTTCGTTTCTGACATCGACACTTCTGATGTTTTGTGCTAGCCTCCGCCTTCAGTGTTGCAAATACTCACTGTTTGTGCGAGTTGACCGGAGCTCAGGTCCTGCCTGGAGCTCACTCTACATCTCTGCGTGAGAGAAAAAAAGCGTGTCTCACCTCTTCTTGCTTTAGATCCTGCTAACACTGCCCGCCGTGGTCGGGATAAGACCACTTGATAGCTTTGATGGTCGTTTCGAGTGTGTTACGTTTTGAAGGTCGGATGCGGATCTGATGGCAAAATCCAGAGCCTCCAAACATCTCTCTCCGCCTCCTTCTCTCTCTCTCTCGTCCCTCTCGTCCCTCTCATCCTTGTTCATCACATCATCAGACACTTTATCACACACCCACACACACACACACGCGCGCCATCTTACCACACACACACACACCTCCTCCCTCCCCTCCTTCTCATCCTCGTCCATCACATCATCACTTATACTGCACGTCTGAGCATAACCGCCTCATATACCTTCTCTCCTCACACTTCGTTCTTGACTTTTCATCTCACTACTCCGTCTCCCATGTGATGTTCATGTACATTTGAAATTTGTAAAACTTATCATGTGGGGTTATCCGGTCCTTTTTTTTTCCGCATGTCATTATCAGGGGCACCGCCAAGATCTTGCAACAACAATCAAAATCCTGTTTTGTGAGGCTTTTTGATCTGGATCATGTTGAGTGCTCATAGACTGGGCATAATTGAAGCCCTTTTGATCAAGGACAAGCAGAAAAGGTTGCCTGTGGTGTGAAACTCTTCGGGCAGTGAAGTCCACCCTTCAATTGAAGGTTGATGGCCGCACGTCCGCACGGTTTGAGGACGGCAAAATTAGAGCCAAGAGGAGATCGAGAACTCACACCCCCCTCTGAGCAAAGTTTCCACGCAGACCGCCCCTCTGCCCTTTTCCTTTGGCTCTCTTCCACCACTTCTCCGTGGTCCGGAGAAAAGGCGCTGTCGCAACAGGAAGAACTGAACACCTTCTCCTTTTCATGCCTCGTCCGGAGGTTAGGCTCATCATAGCACCGCACCTCTGGAAAAAGTTCCTGAAGTGGTGCCTTTTGCCCTTGCTCCTTACGCAAACTGGTTCCCCTTTCTCTCCACTGAGGTAGCTTCCACCCATATGCCACGTCCAACTCTTCAACCAGCATCAGTGGGGTCCCCCCACTACTGGGCAACTTTGTCCAGCTTTGCCTGCGCAACTTTCCACCAGACGAAGCCCCTCCCGTGGCCAAGCAGTTTGCACAGGTTCCTCTGACAAAAATGGTGATTGACCCCGAAAATCATCGGAATGACTCAATATCACGGATGGACTACAGTGGGTCTCTGAAAAAGGAGAGTCGATGATGGGACTCCTACACGTTCACATGTTCTTCATGAGTCAGGAAAGGATGAAACCAGGGAGAGGTGCTGGTCGTGTCTTCAATCTTGACAATGGAGGACGGTGTGTGGCGCTTGTAGGGGAAAGTTGGCCTCACCTTGCCCTAGCTGGACAGTGGTGAAAGGAGAGTGCGAAGGGCCAGGAAGAGCCAACAGTGGAAGATGAAGGGGTCAAGGTGTGAGCCGCGAGAGCGGTTGGCGAGGGCTTGAGCTGGTGGCGAGGATCCCCGGCATGAAAGCCAAGCGCATGCGTGCCTCCAGGGGCCTGTTTCGTGAGGTTTTTTGATCTGGACAATCACGTTGAGGGCTCATAGACTGGGCGCAACTGAATGCCCTTTGATCAAGGACAGGCAGAAAAGGTTGCCGGTGGTGTAAGCGAGAAAACAATGCATCCGAAACCTGTTTACCCCCGCGATTTATTGTTGCCCGAGGTTGATCTTCGCGCGGACAGAGGCAGAACGCTTACAGGAACGGTTGGCGCAGATGGCAAAGGCGAAGAAGACCTTGAAGCGGCGGGTGCAGGTCTTGGCCATGAATTCCGCGAATCCGAAAGAGGCGTCGCAGTGTCCAAACTCCACGCTTTTGCAGTTTCTTGTTTGACCATTGTTTGGTTTACGTGTTTTTTGCGTTTAGTTTGGTGTACACGGCCTCGGCCAGCTCCACACTCATGAAACTTACACAGAAAGCCAGCGCGGCGCGCGATGCTTTCGTTGAATATCACAGCAAGCCAGGAAATGCGCGCGCAAAGACGATGCCAGCAGCTGTGTGAGGAGGCGCGAGAGACCTTTGGAACATTTTGCGTACATGTACCGCCCCAAGTCAATGTTTCGACTGCGCGTAACTCGGAATCGCAAGAAGACCAGGATAATTGTGAGTTGCGTTCCCAGGCACGTTTTGAATAGTTACAGTGTGCTACCGCCAAGTTAAGATACTTTGCTCTTGGTTAGCGTTATAAATTAGTTATAACTAAGTTATATCAGTTTCACGTAGCCTAAGAAATAACTAAGTTATAACTTGGTGTAACTTTTCTAACTTAAACATATGCATGTTCAATAAAAAATGAACCAAAGTAACAAACAAACTCAAATTTTGACAATTATGTTGCTCAAAGAAATTATAGGCGGACCACCACCCAACAAGAAGTCGCAATTTAGGTGGACCACCGCCCAACAAGAAGATGCAAATTAGGTAGACCACTCGCAACAAAGGCTGCAGCAGCGTGACTGTTTTCTACAGCAAGCACACAGCTTCAGTGTCTGTGACATGCCACCAGGACGGTCTACTTTCTTCAGAAATCACACTCTAAACACGTTCGCTTTCTTTAGCAAACACATTCCGGGCGCACATCCAAGATATTGATGAACTTCTAAAATGAATACTCTGTATTTTGGAGTGGCGGTCCACTCATTCAAGTGTATTTTGGAGTGGCAGTCCACTCATTCAAGTTACTGATACACACCGAACACGTATACTCTCTATTTTGGAATGGTGGTCCGCTGAGTGGTGGTCCACGGATTCTTTACTTATATAACACAACTGAACACGTTCTTAACACATTCTTAACACATATGTGTTAACAATGTGTTCCAAATGTGTTCGTGTTTTGTTTCTTTACTAATGTGTTCGCGTTTTGTTTCTTTACTTGACACATTTTAACCCCTTTTATAACACATATGTGTTCAGAATGTGTTCCAAACGCGTTCGTGTTTCGTTTCTTTACTTAACACATTTAGACATGTTTTTAACACAGATGTGTTAAGATTTGTTCAAAATGTGTTTGTATGTGTTCGGCTGTGGTCCAAGCAGTCAAGACCTTTGGCCCTCCACCTTTCAACTTTCTCGGCTTCGACCATGGCTTCCCCGGACTCTCAGCCTCGAGGCGCGCCAGAGGTTGTGCAGGCACTTCGGCATGAGACTCTGGTGGTGGAGACGGTCCTGAGTCTGGACTTACAAGAAAAATCTGGGACGAGTTCGTGAAGGCTTTCGGTGAACAAACAAAATCTACCATTGTTCATGAAGGATTCTGTGCCCAAAATTAGTGTGTCTAAGTTTTCTTGCCTCCAAATACATTGAAATACACGCGTTTCAGGAACAATGGCTGTACTTAAGTCAGACTGCAGCCCATCGTGTGAGGATTCAAAAAGTGGACCAACAAAAAAAAAGATCAAAAGGTGGACCACCACCTGCATGCCAGGAAGGTGGACCACCACCCCGAAACAGAGAGTTGTTAGTTTCTTGAAACGTGTATGAAAAAGCGCGAAACTGTTTTTTGTGAAATAGCGCTTTCATGTCTGCAGTGTCAGGTAAAAAGTTTCAAAGCCGGACGTTAAAGTGCTAACTTCGCTAACTTCTCTAATTTATTTTTAGCGTTTGGAACTAACTTAGTTATAAGTTCGTTAAAAACAACTTAGTTATAACTAAGATATAAGTTCCCATATAATCTAGTGAACTTAAACTATGTTACACCATGTTTGAACCTATGTTACACCATGTTACAACCTATGTTACCCCAAGTTATAAGTAAGGGTAACTTGGCGGTGGAACACTGTATTGGGGACCGGCGAGGATTGATGAAATTGACAGGATCCTAGGTCTAAACCTTGCGTGAACTTCCATAAGGCTGATGTTGAATCTGTACTGGGTGTAGGATCGGTCAGCTGGGTTCGGTGCACTGAAGGCGGCTGTGGCCTTGAACATCAATGCCGAAATAGAGGCTGAGAGATCGGGGAAGATGGTGTGATGGCGTGTGATGGTTGTTATCAGTTGGTGGGTGTGGGGAAGTGACGATCGTGAGACGTTACGTTGGCGTCCAAACGTTCTAATCGCAGCGCCGAGGAGGGCTTATGGTTGTGAATTTCAAGATAGCCGTTGATGCGGTTGTTGCTTGAATGGCCCGCGCTGCCGGAGCGCCGGAGGGAATTTAGATCCTAGATTCACAAGATAAGATCTTATCATGGTGCAGCAGAGCTTTTGGTATGTTTGTGTTTGTTTCGATTTGTGTTTGATGCCTTTGTGTTTGCGCTAGTTTGGCTTAGCCTTGGTCCTGTTAGAGTTTTTTGCGCCAGAAGCAGCGTTCTCAGCTGCAAAGTCCGGAGCGGGTAGGGAGGCCCAGCTTCAAGCTGGCTGATGGGAAACAAGGTGGTCAACTGAGGTGTTCAAATCGTGGCCCTTTGCTACGGATGACTCAAACTGGAGACACTATGAGACACTGTTGAACAAACATGTTTTTCTTTGGACATGGACATGGCGCGAAACAACAATGAACGCAGGCAGCTCGAACTCTTGGAACGTCCATTGAATACGCAGCAGTTTCTCACTGCGCTGGTGCCTGATCGCTTGAGGTATGTGATGATCAATTGTTTGCTGAGAACAGTGCGCCTAGGTTTTTCAATTAAGGCATCAATTTGGTTGTTGCTGCTTTTGTTTTGCTATGCTTTGGTTTGATTAGATTTAACATTATTGGTTTGGTGGCCTATATGTTTTTAGAGAACAGAAGTCGCTTGGCTTCAGCAGCTCTGCTGTTTGTGGCAGTCTGAGGAATTGAAGCAGCATATCTCCATGCTTGAGTGTGAGATTTCCGGCCAATGCCCTGGAGCAACTGACTTTGAAAGGGGCATGGTGTTTGTCACCCACGCCGCCTAGGTCGAGGTGCAAATGGTCAAAATATGTAGTCTTACGATATGTATATATATATATGATGCAGCGCGGACCGATCCATACCAAATTCCTGACCACACCCATATAAGAGTATATATATATATATATATCATAGGTTTTCATTGCTGCTGCTGCTGCTGCTGCTGCTTTGAGCTGCTGCTGCTCCGTTGCTAGTGCCAGCAGGATAAGCGTGTCAAGAAGGTCACAAGACAGTCAAGCTTAGGCCTGCGCATGGAGAGGGACTCCGGGCTGGCAGAGACTCTTGGCAGCGGTTCTGTGGGCAAGAGACCCTAAACAGTGTTGCGTGAGAACTGTGCGAGAGAACCACTCACACCTGTCCAGAGTTTCATCTCGGAGACCTTAAGGTCTAATTAGAGGTGTAGAAAGCAGGTCTAGGGGCTAGAAAGCTAGAGGAGTGGTCGAGAAGTTCAGAGGACTAGAAAGATCTAGAGACCCGGAGTGGAGATCTGGACGTGTAGAGGTTTCTAGACGTCTCAAGGTCTGGAGTTCGGGCCGAAACAAAGAACCCCTAGTACACTGTTTGGGGGAATACGTCGCAGCTGACATTCACGTCAGCAGGGCTAAGTGATTGAATTGGCGCGTGCATGGTTGAAGGAAGTATATTCTGCTTTCACGTTTGCTACTGAACAGGAAGTGACATAGGACCTACAAGAACGAATCACAGTCGCAGTGTGCTCTGAGACTCTTTCAACATTTTTGTCATAGTTCAGTTCAGATTCGTGCCCCCAATAGCTTGTCCATGTCGTCCTCCAACATCAAGAATTTTGACTTGTTCGTCCAGGTCCGTGCTGCACCTCAGCCAAATGGATTCGGAGGTTGGCTCCCAGTCTCTCCCGGGATCCCTACATCACAAATTGTTGAATCGCTGCTTGTTTGGAATGTGGGCATTCCATGGTGTTTTCACGCGCGCTTTTTGAAAGACGAGGTAGTGCATCTCCATAGTCTCCTTTTGTTCCCCTTGTTGTAACGCACGTACCTCAGCGTCTTGAGCTTGCTTTTGAATAGGCCCACATAGCTGGAGACCTGAAGGAAGGATTTGGGCTCCTGTTCTTTTTGCGCGACGTTCAGGTGGAATTGGAATGCCAAAGACTACAAGAGCAGCTAGCTGAAGCCTGGATGCTCAGAAGAATGCTGACGCTGGGTTTGTGACACGCTTTGTCCTTCCTGCGAGCCTGCAAGGCGCTTCGCACCATGCAAATTTTCACGGTGATTGCCACTTCACGGCGACAATCCTGCGTACTGTATTAGGAGGGAGCCGTGCCATCTTGGGTTATATGAGTCCCCGACAGACTTGGCAGAAGTAGGCAGTAGTCTTCGGCTGGACATCGTGTATTCGGCGGACTGCAGGACCGATAGGGGCCCACCCAAAACTGATATCTTCTTACGTCTAAAATGAGAAGGTAATGTCAGTAATGTCTTTGCATTTCTTGGGACTTGAGTCGGGCTTCCATTCTTAAGTCCTAGTAGTGGTCAGGGTAGCCAGCCCCCCACTTGAACGCTTGCCTTCTTTGCGTTTACCTCCTTGATAGTTGATGGGAGGCTGCGGCCGCTACTGCCAATTTATTTTTGTCACAACTGCCACTACTACTACTACTTCTTCTACTACTCCTACTACTCCTACAACAACATTTACAACAACAACTACGACTACGACTAGGACTAGGACTACGACTACTACTACTACTACTACTACTACTACTACTACTACTACCTACTACCTACTACCTACTACCTACTACCCACTACCTACTAAGTACTACCTACTAAGTACAAAGCACAACCTACTAACTATACTACCTTCGGATAACATGGGATTTAGAAACATACATGTTACATGGGCACTCACACATTCCCATGTCACCTGCCTTGATTAAGCCCATGTCATCAAGTAAAAGAACCAAAGCCAACATAGTGGACTCCAGATTTCCGACGCAGCCCAATACAAGGCTGCTTTGTATATAAACGAGTGACTTGGGATTGACACGTTGAAAGCAATCCTGTCAACTCAGACGCCTGGTTGGCACAGATTGCAGAGCTCATTCTTTTGTAGTTAGGATTCAGCTGAGCTGAGCAGATCGTCGCCGGCGCCAGATCGGGTGTGTGTGTGTGTGGTGTTGGCCTTACGGTTAGGCGCCAACACGTTTTTCACGTGACATAGGACTTACCTATTCTATTCCTCATGTCACTTGAACGCCATAACTCCCATGTGATCTGCGCCCAGTATACTATATACTAACTAAAGCTTCTACTACCTACTACCAACTACTCCTAACTACTACTAACTATTTACTACTATACTACTAACTATAACTACTACCTATAACTAACTACTACTACTACTACTACTACTACTACTACTACTACTACTACTTCTACTAGTACTAAAAACTTTCACTAGCACGACTCCCACTACTACCACTAGTACTACTACTACTACTGCTGCTGCTACTACTACTACTTCTACTACTACTACTGCTACGGTCATTATTACTACTAGTACTACTACCATTACTACTATACAAGTACAAGCGCAAGTACAACTACAAAACCTACTAGCGCTACTACTGCTGGTACTGCTACCATTACTTTTTCCACTACTACTACTACTACTACAACTACTACCCTACTGCTAGTACTACTACTACTATTACTACTACCACTGCCACTACTTCTACTTCTACTACCGCTACTACTACCGCTACTACTACTGCTGCTACTACTACTACTACCACAACAACAACAACAACTACTGCTGCTGCTGCTGCTGCTGCCACTACTACTACTACTACTACTACTAATACTACTACTACTACTACTACTACTACTACTATCACTAAAAACCTTTACCTTTACTACCAAGATGAGAGCTGCTGCTGCTGCTGCTACTACTACTACTACTACTCCTCCTGTTGCTGCTGCTGCTGCTGCTGCTACTAAAAACTGCTACGACTACTACTATATTCTGAAACTGCTACTATACTCTGTTATTCGCCACTCATATGCAAAAACCTGACCCACGGCGGCCACCCAAATACATACAGAGAGCGAGCAGAAACTGAAAACCGGTACGGGCCCAAACTCATTGTCCGGCACGCATTTAGTTTTCCCCACCTGTGAGGGGAGGGTTGTTAGATTTTATGTCAGCTGCCGCGCTGCTCCTCTCCTTTCCTCCTCTCCTCCACCTCCTCAACCGCGAGTTTGGATGGCAGCGTTCTCCGCCGGACCTCAACCGCCAGCTCCGGATGGCAGCGTTTGCCAGCGGACCTCAACCGCCAGCTCCAGACGGCAGTGTTCCCGCTCCGGACGGCAGTGTTCCCCGCCGGACCTCAACCGCCAGCTCCAGCCGGCAGTGTTCCGGCCGGACCTCACCGCCAGCTACGGCAGAAAGAGTGTCAGAAGATGTGCCAGAAAAAATGTCAGAAAAACTGTTAGAAGATACGCCGGAAAAATGTCAGAGCATAGAGCATATGCCAGAAAACATGTCAGAAGCTATGCCAGAAGATATGCATGCCAGAAAGAGTGCCGACGTAATGTTTCAATACATGCCATAGAAGTTGTCAGGTTGAAGTGCCATGCTGGGGATCACTCGATGTAGAATTTTTTTTTGATGCATTGTGGGGACAGAGGCCTAAGCCTAACTTAACGCGTATATTTTTAGGCCTTCAAACATCCTTTCAGGGTTTGTCATACCAGCAGGCTTTGTGTAGCGTGCCTTCTAGTTCTAATGCCCTGTGCATACTGGGAGGCGTTGGGTGTTGACTAGCACTCGCTTTCCTGTACCCTGAATGAAGCGAGTTTGAGGCCTTAGCTTGGGAGAGCTCACGCGAAGAGCTAGAGGCTCGATGTTTTTTCCACTACTTCATCACCAAATAGAATAGTGAATAGTCTTAGGGAAAATGTGAAGGCAAACTTCAAACCTGAGTGTTCCTGGATAGTGTTGGGTGTCATTTTGTATTATATAAGAGATTCTGCGGGTTGTACCTGGATGGTTCAGCATTGGCGTTGGACAGCATCAGCTGTTGATCCAGCAGAATTACATAGTTGACGTTGTCGGAGATTTGAGCCATCCTGCGTAGGTTTTGCCACTCAGCAAAGTGGTCGAGTGTTTGTCCACTTGCGTTCAAGACAAACCAATAGACGGCTTTCAGGAATTGGGCATCATCAGGATAAGCAAAATATGATTGGTACCTCCATCTGCTTAGCTGGACTGCTAAACGCTATTGCTGGCAACTTTGATGGGAGTTTCATTTGTACTAGTGGCAGCTATTTGATGCTATTTATATAGCCGTGATTGGGGAAGCCTCTAACCACAGGTCTCAGACTAATTCTGCAACCCTTTCCTGAGTTCCTGCATCATGTCGCTGCTAGGCGGAGGTGTCCATCCTGCGCCAGAAATGCGAACAGCTTCGTCTCCAAGTAGATGAGGCACTATGCAGCAATATCCTTAAAGAAGAATCCATCCCTGCAATGCCATACAATTCAATTGCTGGAACATTATTTGAAGAGAAAAGGCCTAGAGGGCCTGAAGAGATTTGAAGAGCACACACAACATTATACAACCGTGTTAGGCTGCGGCCACGACGCCTCAAGCTGCACTTGTCCGAATTGAGGAGCTGGAGGCGGGTCAGGAGGTAGGAGCAACAACTCACGATCAAAACACTTTAGGGGAAGGTGTCAGAAATCAGTCCGAGGCCAAGGGTGGCTGAAATGCAACTTGGATAGTAGGATTTTAAACAACAAACTTGGCAACAGCATCAAGCTAATTAAATTTGTAGGCTTACGCTAAGCTCATTGAGAAGATTGTGCAGATAATTCTACCACAGCCGACTTCGCAGTTAGGATGTATGTGCCCACAGGACAACCTAGCCTAAAGGCCATTGGAACGTTGAGCTGCTAGAGAACGAATGCTGTAGATGCTGCAGATAGGAGTTGGTACGACTTGGAGCTGAAGAATTGCAGCAGGAAAGACAACAAAAGCTAGAGGCTGGCTGGCAATACTTGTATTGCTTGGCGGAATCAATTGAGTTGGACTGTTGGACTGGGTACATTGCAAACGAACCAATGCATGTTTTGTTTAATCGTTTTACTGCGTCTTGATACATGTCACGAAAGCGAGCTCCGAAGGAGGTTTGCTGAAGTTGTTTTTCTTACAAGGGGAGGCTGAGAATTGATCGCTCCAAAGGACCGAATTGATTATAAAACTATAACAAGGGCATTGCTACTAAACTACCAGCAAGAAGCTACTAGTAGCTATTTGCTACTAGTAATGCACTTGTTACTAGTAGCGATGCACTTTTTCCTAGTAGCTTCTTGTTTTTTTAATTTATCTATCACAAAAAAGTACCCACCCACCCACTTTGCGTGATACAATCAATTGAGACCCCCACCTTCCTTAACGAAGCGTATTGATTTAAAGGGCCCCACATTAGAACACACGCATCACAAGCATCATTTGAGTGGTTCAAATTAGCTTAGCAAAACAAAGGTTGTTCCAGATTAGGGTTGGGCAGGTTTGGGCATTTCCATACAAGTCTTATTGGTGTCACTTGCGCTGAAGCATTAGAGAGCACACCATCGCCTCCATTGATAGTAATTCTCTTTTAGATGGTCGTGGAATGAGCAAAGTATTCTCTTGCTTTCGTTCCGGCTTATCAAGTTCATGTGGACCACTGGCATCAGCTTCCGGCACCACCACCCTCCAACTACCAGCGCGTTCGGGTGGACAACTTGACTCGAGCGTTGAACATCCTTCACAGACTCGTTGGCATTGAAGCAATTGCAGGAGATGTTGAAGATCAAAGAAGAATCAAGTCAGTGGCAGCTGCAGAGTCAGCAGAAGATGCAGGCAAAGCCAGCTAGATTAATTAAGCTCCAGACCAAAGCCAAGATGGGGTCAAAGGGGGGAGATGATGTTGCAAGTTGCCCTTGCTGAGATGGTTGACAGTTGTCAAGAGTCAAGAGCAATTAGGTTTAATTAAGCTGCAAGTTGTTTCTTTCTATGTATAATGTTTTTTTTTCGTTTCCAGCTGGGCTACAGCTGGAGGTAGAGACCTTTCGGCCCAGGAACTCCTTGAGAAAGAAAGCCATTGGAAGACCGAAGTTCATCAAAAAGCAGAGGCAGAGCTAGTGCCATAGTATTGTTGGCGTTTGTTGCTTGAAGTACTGGTACTATTGAAGTAGACGCGCTGCAAGCTACCAGGCACAGCGGGGATACAAAGAACATTAGATTTGGAATCATTGAAAACCATTGGTAGTTACATTCCCAGCCCAATCGGGATTATATACAGCGTATACTGATTCTTGTACTAAACGTAAGACTTCTAGCTGTACAAGAGGTTTGTGTGGGATATATATATATACATACTTTTTGTTGGATTGTATTGTAGGAGATATTGAAGATGAGGGATGAAGCGAGCCAGTGGCAGCTGCAAAGCCATCAAAAGACACAGGCGAATCCTGCATGGATGGTGGCATCAAGACTATCAATTTATAATGTGACTAAATAAGTGGTATATATATATATACACAAGTTGTGTTGAAACGACATGAAAGATCAACAGAGATTGTTACTGTAGAAAGCCCTTGGAGATCTATGGATCCTTCAGGAGGCCCGGATGAACCAGGAGGAAGCAGATCGACAAAGAGCGATTTGCAAGGCCAGATTTGAACAACACCTAACAAGCGTCTCACGCGGTGCTGTTTGAGGAGCATTGACTGGGATTCCTCTGAATACTCTGCCCTACTAGTTTTGAAGTTCATCACTGAAGCATATCTTGAAGAGCCACAAGTAGTCCAGCACAATAGTTTCCCAGTGTTTCGTCATCGCTGATTGCCTCCCAGTTTCTTGCTGAGAGGGATTGCAAGAAGCCAAAGAAGAAGCAGACCGACGCAGAGCGATTTGCGAAGAGGCAACGGCAAGGGGTGAATCCTATTGAATCCTGGCCCTGTCAAGTTTCTTGGACATGCACATCAACGCATTTGTCATTTGTGGCCTTTTTGGGTGGTAAATGGATGGGGTGTTGGCAAATCGTTGACTTGTGTTCAAGAACTTCATTGAGCCCTTCAGACTGGCGGCGGTCTTTTGTTGCTTTAAACTTTCTTCAGCAACTCAACTGCTGGTTCATTGTGGATTTGCTGGGTTAGTGAATTCTTCGTCCGTAAGAAGGTACTACAAATAGACAAGACAGCCGATCAGCAAAAACTCAGGTGCTTCGTCAGAAGCTGTGCCCATTCCCTGCAAAATGTAGTTACGAACGTGCAAGGCAATGAAACAATTTCCCAAGCCCCTTTGTGTGCGAATTCACCCTCACGGTGAAATTGAAAGTCTCATATTGATGGCCCTCAGGGGCTGTGGATCTTATGCCTCCCCCTTCAAATCAAGAATTGCGAATATTTGCGACAGAGGTTTGCACAATTTGTTGGTAATTATCAGCGGCATGGGCCACAGCCACATCATGCACTTCAAGCAACACTCCAAATGTTTTCTCACGTGGATTGAAGACACCCTATCAAAACCTTAGTCACGCCTGATGAAAGAGGCCTCGCAACATTCACTTCAGGTCATGTTTCCCACCAACCATGAATGACAAGATTTAACTCGGCAGGACTTGCAGAAGGCCCGATCAGAAACAGATCGGCTGAGGGCTGAGAGCTCTGAAAAGATTGCAGTGTCTTTCAGACACGCCGAGGTCAGGGTCTAAGCTCCACCTGCCGAGAATTCTTGGCACAGGTTCTTCTAAAACCTACAAACGGCGCCTTAGAGGCCTAGTGATATCTAGAGATCCTACAGCAGCTTGTGAAGGACATTTGTGATTCCTTTTGGCGGTGCTTTCACTTTCTTGTCCAGGGTATATAATGGTATATATCACGAAAGCCAGCCGATAGGCAAGGCTTGAGGTAGCTATGCGAACGAAGTGAGTAAAGGGGCGGGGTGGTTGCGAGCAGGCCAATCTCGGAGAGGCTGACCTAGAGCCTGGTGGGGGAGAGCGAAAAAAGAGAGGTGGCCACTTGGTCGTGAACATTAGTAGTTTTTGGGGATGTTGTGATGCCGGTGATGTAATTGACGGCCAGTAGTGCATCATTAGCATCACGAGGGGCTTAGGAGGCAATGCAAACCGTTTTCTACTAGGGGTGGGAGTTCATGTCAATGATAGGAAAGAGGGGACAACGGGACGCGAATAGTTGTTGGAATTGCTCCAGAAAAAAAGGGAGATGTGCGCCTCTCATGGCCAGTGAAGTAGTGTGAAAGGGAGGTGTGTGTGTGTGCGTCTCTTAAGACATTGTGTGATCCGCGAGGAACCAGAATGATGTAAGGAAGGTGGAAGACAGGCATAGCGTAGGTGGAAGACATGGCATAGTGCTTGCAAGACATGTTAGAGTTGGTTGGGGGTGCCCTTATGTAATGGTGAAGACGCCTGTCAACTATACGCAAAAGGGCAGCCCATATCGGGTGCGAGCTCATGTAATGCTGTGGCCCGTGAGGGCAGGAAAGAGAACAAAATGCAGCGGGCAAGCTTTGAATTGCTTGGGGGTGCCCTTTGTTAACGGTGAAGAGGTCTAGCTGCCGGACTCAAAAGGGCGCCCCATATGGGGTGAGAGTTCACGTGGACGAGACAGGCATAGTGGAGGAGGACGTGATAGGAAAAGAGGGATTGCAAGAAACGATGTGACCCATCCATTGAGAACAGGGAGGGAACAGAATGCAGCGGGCAAGCTTTGAGTTGCTTGGGGGTGCCCTTGTTTTATGGTGAAGAGGCCTGTTGACCGGACGCAAAAGGGCACCCCATATGGAGTGGGAGTTCATGTAGCGGGGGAGGAGGTGATAGGAAAAGAGGTGGGGAGCTCACCAGGGCTCCCGCATTCACCCCCCATAGCCATATTGATATATTTTACGGTGGCTGGCTTTCGGCTTTTGTCCCCTCCCTTCTCAGGTGTATATATATATAATATATATATATATATATTTATATTTATATAGGAGGGGTATTTATTTTTGGATTTTTCTGTTTCTTTTTTGGATTTTTTTTGTTTTTCGTGGCTTCTGGCTTCTGTGGCTTCTGGCTTTTGTGGCTTTTGGCTTCTGTGGCTTCTGGCTTTTGTGGCTTTTGGCTTTCGTGGCTTCTGTGGCTTTTGGCTTTTGTGGCTTTTGGCTTATCTGTCTATACCTATCTATTTATCTATCTTTCTTTCTTTTGGCAGCTGTTCTCCTTTCTCTTTTTGTATTTGCTTTTCCTGTTGTTTTCGTTGCAGAGACGAAACCAAACAAGGAAGCAAGCAAGCAAGCAAGCAAGCAAGCACGAGCTGCTCACCTTTGGATCTGGTGTGCTGCTGGGGGGGACGCTGCACCCCCCCAACCCCTCCCGCGCCACGAAATCTGCACTTCATCCCCGACACCCGCGCCTGCCACGAAATCAATATTTTAAGGTGATCCCCGGCGCAAAACTTTCTAACCAAGCAAAAATTCCCCCTCTATCTATCTATCTATCTATAGTGGCCTGCAGTCACTTAGAATATTACCTAATAATGCCCCCGGGGCATTAGGTGATTATTCTATATCTTTTTGGGGAAACACTTAGAATATTGGTTGGATAGGTTTGGATGAGAAGTTGAAGAAACACATGTCATGGGTGGGAAAAGGTAGCGCAGTGAATCTGAGGTATGCTGAATATTCTATCTGCTGGCTTCAAAAAACTGAACAATTCTATCTGTTAGCTTCAAAAAAAATTCTATGTGTTACCTAATGCACCTTAATATTCTATCTGTCTGAAGTTCACTATAATCTAATCTAATCTAATCTAATCTATCTATCTATCAATTTATCTTTCTATCTTTCTATCTTTCTGCAGTTCAACATCCACAAAGTACTGCACCTGCCACGAAATCTGCACTTCAAGGTCCACAAAGTCTTGCGCCTGCCACGAAATCTGCACTCCAAGGCCCACAAAGTCCTGCACCTGCCACCAACTCTACACTTCCACACCCACAAAGTCCTGCATCTGCCACGAAATCTGCACTTCAAGGTCCACAAAGTCCTGCGCCTGCCACAAAATCTGCACTGCAAGGGCCACAAAGTACTACACCCGCCACGAAATCTGCACTTCAAGGCCCACAAAAAGTCCTGCGCCTGCCACAAACTCTGCACTCCAAGGCCCACAAAGTCCTGCACCTGCCACGAAATGTGCTTTGCAAGGTCCACAAAGTACTGCACCTGCCACGAAACAAACACGAAAAACAAAAATTCCAAAAAAAAACGAAAAACATTTCAGAAATATATTCGCAACCATTTATATATAGCAACTTTGACTCACCCAATGCCCTACAGCAGATCCACCTTGACCAGCTCTTATGGGGCACAAAGAACTGTTAGCTCAGCGAGCTCAGTTTGCCACCCGTCTTGAGAGGATCTTCACAAGGCTCAACACGACGCTGATTGCCTTAGAGACGCCCACCATCAGCAGTCTGCCTTAGCTGCCCAGCAACTGGAGGCCTCCCACGGCGACCGGGCCCCATGGCATTCCCATGGTTACGAGTTTCAACATTGTATCATATTGCACGAAAGGCAATACCTATATAGAGTGGCAAGAACTGGTACCTCCATTTGTATCCCTTTGTCCGGTTGGATTCCTTTGTTGGGGCCATTGATTCCTCTCAGGTTGGAAATCTTATTGCTGTTTGAATTCCTCCCACTGTTCCGCATCGGGGCACCCTTGTTTTCATCGGGTATGTTACGGTATGTGCCTAATATTTCATTGACCAAAACGAGTGTCAGTTCCCTGCATATTGCCAGAAAATCACAGAAACGATTGGACGGTTAGATCTGAACAAATGGAAACATGACTTCTGTCCCTGACGCACGGCCTTCCACCCCAGGAGCTCCGGGAGCTGCGCCTGGAGGCCCAACAGCTACGAAGCGAATGTCGGAAGCAGTTGGCAGCCGAAGCGCAACAGGCCAAGGACAGAGTTTTGCGCTTCAGAGGGCCCAATTGCAAGCCCAATTTGCACATGGTATATTTTGTTTGAAGCCTGACACATTTGCTTTTGTGATCTTTTGTGTGCTATTGTTTGTAGGGCACTGTAGGGCTACGTTTAGTATTAGTAGCTGGGGATAATATATCAATGAGCATGCTATTGTTTTGAGTTTTGACGAACCAAACCCATCCGTAGGTTTGGCCTATTGTTCACAACTAACTTGGGCCTTTGTCGACCAATAGATCAGAACCCAAGGGTTGGAAATGGAATTTTCCCTTTTGCAAGTTTGGAACCAAAGTACAGACCGTATTCCCGAACAAATCGAACGACCCCCCATTGCAACAAACGCTTGACGGCAATGGAATGCACCTTCAGCGCTGGCAGACTTGAGGATTACAATGGATGACTTACCAGTTTTCTTGAACAAGTTGGAATAGAGGGTTGGAGTCATCCACAGTTGCATAGCAAGCTTGCGTGCCTCCCGATGACTCGAGGATGTGCGCCAAGCAGCAGAAGATGCTGAAAAGAGCAGAGCTTCCTGCCAGGAGACATCAATATGTACAGAATTGAGGGTGGATATATATACCTAGGGGATCTTCTTGGCACAAATAATTGCCAATGGCAAAAAAAAAGCCAATTGGCACTTTTACCCGGACATCGCAGATTCATGACGTTTTTCTCAAATCTAGCAGCTGCAGCCTTTTGGCTGGCTCAATCACGTTGAGGGTGCACTTTGGCACTCTGGCGCGCTTGCCCTAGCACTGGGATGTGGTGGGTGCAATGCACTGAGTCTTTTTTTTGACTGTTTCCTGAAAACGTTTTGTTGTGGAGCAACATTTTGCTCAAGAGATCTAACAACAAGCTCCTACCAAAGAAGCCATGGATGTACTTAGAGAGGTGGGGCTGCATGAGATGCCGAACAAATGGTTTGAGCAAGCTCAACTAGTTTTGTGGCCCAAAGAGACACCAGTGGAACCTTTTTTGCAAGTAGTTCATTGCGATGTCAACCAACATAGAATGCGCAATCTGAGTTCGCCAGTGCTACCCAGTGCCCCCATTTTATTCCACTCAGGACTCTCCTGACCAGTTGAGCGAGGAAAAGGCAATGACAATTGCTGAGAACTATCGTGTTGGTGGTCATATTCGTGAACTGGCCAATGTCCTTCGAAAATGGCAGTCTGAACGTAGCTTGTCTTATTGTGTGTTCTTTTACTTCCAGAATGATCAGAATGTACAACTGGATTGCAGTGCTTTACCTAGCTTTTCAGGTGCAGCGGAACAGCAGTTGGAGCCTGACATGACCTCCAAGTAGACTGAGTTCTTTTTATGCCGTAGGGGGCGATCTAGTGAGTTTCCAGTCTTGCAGCTGATCTGGATGGATAGATGGAAAATAGCAACTCCGCTCTGCTTCATACAGCTTCTCATCACTCGCCAACTGTCCGGGATACACTGGCCACTCTCTCACCACCCAGGCCCATGTCGACCTGCCGGAGCACATGAGATTTTGCACATGAGGCTTGAACGGTCTTGAACATGTTTTTGCACAGCTGGAACTTCTTCCTTTTAGTCTGCACAGCTGGAACTTCTTCCTTTTAGTTGTGCTATTTGTTGTGTTTGTGAGGTCTCTTTTCAGTGATCCTGGCCATTGGCTGGTACACAGGGCAACCGTCTTTTCCCTAGAGCCAGCAAACTTGTTGACCACATCACCTTAAACATCCTTAAACAACCTTGGTCTTACAGCCCAGGCCAGAAGCTCCAGAGCGGCTGTCCCAACATCAAGTGACCTCGATGTTGCGTGAACCTTTTTGATGATGTTGGAATTCCTGGGCTGCGAGGCCAGCGTCATCACATGCAGGCATTTTTGTGGATCGAGCTACTTTCAGGGAAGTGCGAAGTAGCGTTTTGGAAACATGGCTGAACCCAGTGAGGAAGTGAAATGTGTGGGCTTGGTGGGATTGGCAAGAATCATTGCCAATAATGCAATGCTCAGGCAGCGAGCGCTAGATCATGCCCTGCTCCATTGGGAGTGTGAAAAGAAGAAAGGGTTGATCAGTCAAGAGAACTTGGCCCTCAATGTGGATCTTATCATGGCCGTCTTACGGATTTGGCTACCCCAGTTGACGGACTCCATGAAGACTGTAAACATTGATGAGGTCAGAGAGCAGGTGGGAGAATGACCAAAAACAAACTCCAGTGTTGCAAAGCACCCAGTCAGCTTTGCCATTCAAGCCGGCCCCAGGTGAAAGCTTTGCGGGAGGACCTACGCCTTCCACTTGAAGTTGGGCCAATCCATTGTGAGTCTGTAGCCATTCGCTCATTCATATCGTTTACCTTTCGCAGACACAATGGAACCCAAAAGAAAGACTCTTGATCCAGCTATTGTTTTTGTTGATGTATTTTTGGTGGTGTGTATGTATTTTCCCTTTCTCAAGAAAGTAACCCACTCTGCGGGTCCACCCAACCTAGGATGCTCGCCTGCGTCCTCTCTTCGAGTTGATTGGTGAATATTTTTCACCAAGAATCCAATCTTCATCATCAATTGGGTCTGCAGCAGAAGAGCCGGCAGATCCAAAGGCTGCTGAAGAGATCGAAGAGGCTCCTGCCCAGTGCTTGCATGATGAATATGCACTACCTGGTAGCCCTGGGAACCCCGCTGAGGTGGTTGAGAGGATGAAGGAAGCCTTGTGCTGTTCTTTGGGTGGTGATATCCCGAAAAGTCCAACATGTTCACCTCAGCCACTTCCACAAGTGGAAACTGCCGAGCTCACCATCGATAGTCTTGCTCTACATGATGGAAAACCTTTGACGCTGGAAATGGTTGGGCAAGTGCGAAACCGCTTGGCCTTCTTAGAGCTGCTTGGCTCATCATGTGTGGTTATACTGGGCCAAGCGAAGTAGGACCTCCAACACAAAGGTGTTCTTATCAATGTATAACTTGTCCGCTACTTCACCCACCCAAAAAAATAGACACCCAACATCTAAGAGATTCTAAAATTATACTTCTACATAAGGTATAATGGTAGCAATTATCTTTGAGCCCTCCTAGGCGAATGATGCAACAGCGCAAAGTGGCATTGCTCGGGCAGCAGCATTGGAATGCTGACACCCAACCCTATGATGCCACGCAAGTCTTCGAGGCCATACAAGAGCAGCAAGCCGCAGCCTCCAAACCAGTGGATCAGCCCAGTGAGAGGAGTGACGAGTCTGAGAAACAGCCTTCTGAGTCTGTGGGAAAAGGGAAGACCTGGAAGGTCATGATGCCAGCATCCGAAGAGAAAAACGATGAGAAGAGTGACAAGT